TCTATAGATACCAATGACAATATGCAATCTGAAGCAGAAAGTTTATCTGAAAATATTACTGAATCTATAAATTCCAATGAAAACAAGCAAACTGATGCAGAAAAATTATCTGAAAATAATATCTGCAAAAATCAAAAAGAAATTACAGAAGCAAGTATCACACCTATAGATATTTCACCTTCTAACGTAGAAACAAAAATACCCAAAAAAATAGAAACCCATTGGTATGAAAAGAAGGTAAAAGGTTTTATTTTTTTTTTTACCATATATTTAATTCCTTATCGTACTATTTCTCCTATCACTTTATGTCAACTACTTACAGCTAACTGAAAAATTAGATACTATTAAGGAACGAATGTGTAAATTAGCACGTGTTTTAGAAAATTCTTATCCATCTTATAAAACATGGCTAGATTATACAGAAAAACTTAACGGATCACCTCTATGTAAACTAGAACCACCACGTCGTTGGCCATTAGATAAACATCATACTAATCGTTGGAAATTTAATTGTAAGTATACTAACGGTATATTAATATTATTAATAATATATTATGCAAAGTTGTTTATATAAAGAGTGTCTAGAGTTTTTTCATTTGTTGTTTCATTTAGATAATTTTACAATTTACTTTAATAAAGTTTTAAATTATTTTGTGAGTATAGAGTACGCTCCTAACATCTGTATGAAAAAACTTTAAACACCTGTGTCTATAAAAATTGCTAAAATGAATAGTTCGCATTAATATACATAATATACATATGCATATGTATATGCATATGTGTAATATTAATACATTGATCGTTTATGCTCTTTACCTTTGATTGACCTTAGCAGTTAAGTGAAAGAACAGTGAATAATCAATGTGTTAATGATATAAATGCATTCAATATGCATTTCTATGCTACTCTATAAATTAGCGAAAAATGAAAATAGATGGGCTTGTGTCCAGAGAATAATAATCTCTGCTGACACTGTTTTGAATTTCAATGGAACGAAAGATTCCTTGAAAACATATATGACTAATTCATAGTAGTAAACTATGAGTTAATAAATCTAAAAACATGTCGACACTTGCTCCATCTTTTAAGTGCATAACTTAAAAAAAGTGTTATACTTGTGTGGTTAAAGCATAAATCCATAAAATACATTGTGACAACAATACACAAATAAATGTGATTAATAAAGTGATAAGCTTCACATCAGTACTACACATTTTTCAGTATCTCCATATTCATACTCATTGTATACGTATATTTTGCTTTGTACTAAATTAAATGATTATATTTTTATTTAAAAAGTTTATAAACTAATTTGTAAACTTTTATATAAATCAGATTTGTTCTTCTCTCTCACAAGCATACCTTGCTCTGCTTTTTTTTTTTTTTATTATAATATAATAATAAATCTCTTCATTTAGAAGATAATGTTTAATATTTATAATTTAAATTTTTTACTCATTTTATTTTGAATTACTCTAATAATAAATCTGTCTAGTTACGGATTCCATTGAGAAAATCGGAACATGACAAATATAGTGTAATGAATTTTTTAGTATTTCAATGATAAAAATAACCTGCATGTTTAGGCAGCAGAATAAGTGTGGAGGTATCAGAGAAGGGGGATGGATCTCTTCACAGTAAAGAAAAAGTGTGGCAGGTGGAACCAGCTGAAGCATGGGGTGTTAGTAAACATACCATCCCTGAGATTCCGCCTTTTGTATTACGCGCAGTCAAGGTATATTTAATTTTGCTATGTAAATGCAATTCAGCACGTTTAACTTCTGAAAAGCATATACATAATTGTGTATTTAAAAAGATTGAACATTCTTGATAAAGTCCATATTAGCGTATGGATGTTTCTTGCATAATGCTTAAAGTCAAGTAATCCTTTTATAAGGACAAAGATTTTTTGTGCAATAGAACGAATAACTGATGTTGCCAAACTTTTTCTACAATGAAAAACAAAAATTTAATGACGATAAGTCATTAATTATTCATGAAATTAAAGTACATGTATGATCATTCAATTAATTAAATAAAAACTAACTTTATAATTGGCAACACATGAAACACAAACTATAATGGATGAATAAGAATGAAAATATAATAGACACGTTGTTTTACTTCGTCAAGAACATTCAAGAAACACACTGCATATAGAATTATAATTCTTGAATATTATTCTTATAAAGAAATTAAATTCAACGTCAAGAAGTATCAACAAGATAGAAGATTATTATGCAACAAATGCAGCTGCACGCAGAGTATGTAACAATATTACGATTGTTACTATTGTTGCAATAAGGAGTGTTTTTATTAACCCTTTGCACTCGAGAGGTGACTCTCGCTCATCACTTGGTTTGGTGCGGAAATTTGATGCGATTTACAAGAGTACTGGTCACGGAATGATGTCAGTTACATTCCTTTTTATTCAAACAAATTTACTAGAGACAGATTTAGCCAGATTTTTTGGATATTTCATCTAAAAACAATCCCAACAAAAGATGCAGGTCCATGAAACACGTTTACAGCTAGTAAGCTGCTTTCTTGACTATATAAATTCTAAACTTTGGAAGTATTTTACACTGGGAGAAGAAATTTGTGTGGATCACTATCAAATTCAAAGGTCGAATTTCCTTTATTACTTACAACCTGAAAAAACCAACTAAATGGGGTATTAGAGTTTACACAATGGCAGACTCTAATACTGGATATATCTGTGGTATGTATTCTTCCTTATTATGGAAGTCTTACTACGGAGAAATTTATAAAATCACTAAACAACAGAGAGAACAGCCGCTTAATCACTTGCGGTATGTGAAAATCTTAGTTCGGTAATTGACTATAGATTTTCGTCAGACACGTGTTGTCGAGCTTCGACTTCAACCTCTGATTCCGAAAACATCCGCCTAAATGGAAAGCTGCATAACATTCTAACAGGAGTTAGGAAGAATTGCAAAGTCTGACCTCAAAGAAATAACCCTGGCAAAAGACTTTAAACGACATACTATTGTGATACTTGTCTCGAAAAGCCGAGCATGCATCTCGGCAATTGTTACATGAAATATCATACAAAACAAAATTACAAAGACTAATGTTTAAGAAATTATCTTAGTAAAGATGTATTAAATATTAAAATATGCAAATTTTATCCTTTAATTTTTGTGTGAAATGATTTTAAGTTGGTGGTGAGAAATTCACCAAAAATGCTGTGAAACGATCTCGAATGCAAAGGGCTAAAACACTTCTTTTATTACATTAAACACATGGAACGCAATAAATAATTGCATCAAAAGAGACAGAGAGCGAGAGAGAAAGAGAATGAGTTATGTAATTAAGAAAAATATATAATATCATAGCTCTTTCCTGCTATCTGTATTCAAGAAATGAAATAAGACTAGAATAAAGATGTGAATCGTACTGTAAGAAGAAGAACCCATCCGCAAAGTTGACTATTGATTAAGAATATTATTTTACAAAACTCATAAATGAATGCAGCATCGAAACTGCTATTTATTTTTGAGTAATTTTATTGCTGATATTAACGATTTTTAATGAAAAGAAATAAAACACTGAAATTACACGTCCAAAGTGGGATATTTGATGTACTTATAACTGTATATGTTCGTCGTATGTAAAATACGCGACATTCTATGGAGGGCGACTAAAGTCGCCCGTAGTAGCAAAAGGATTGATTAATGTTATAAGTAAAACATCAAAAAAATAACAAAATTTAAATATCTTAGTTAATTAAATTAAATTCATACTGAAGATTTATGTGCTGCGTGTGTGCGTATTTTATAATCTTGTAAAATAATGGTTTATTTCATAAATGTTAATTCTTAAGTTGTATCACAATACAGTTATATAGCACACTATTGTTTTTAATAATTTATGTTTTATTATATAGATATTCGAAGATTTTCTTCAAAATGCACAACAGGCGGATGAAGCTCTTCTCTCAGAACAATTCTCTAGCGATACATGCATAGAAATTGATCAGAAAAACGAAACAAAACCACGATGGCTTTGGCTCATAGTAAGATGTAATAGCTCAGAGGAAATTATGCTATTTGTAACCGGAAAAAATATTAGTCGGAGTACCATGGATCATTTGAAACAAGTATATGAATCTGGGCCTGGAGAAAATTGCAATGTTAAATCTATCTACTGTGAAACTATATTTAATAAGTAAGAAAAAAATGTTATATATTAAGTATATTTACTAAAATTGTACTCAATGTAAGTATTTTTTGTATAGATCTAATGATACAGTTGCCTCGAATACAACATTTGTGGTAGGATCGGAAGTTTTAGACGAAGTTGTCGGAGGTATTAAAGTACAATTAGCTCCCAAAACGAATTTTTGGACTAACCCTGTAGGTGCAGAGAACGTAGCAAAAACTGTAATAGAATTATTAGAACCTACATTGAAAACAACAGTTCTTGAAGTTGGATGTGGATTTGGTTTGATTGGATTAATGATAGCATCTGTAAGTATTTGAAATTAATCCTTGTATAAAAAATATGTAAGTGATATCTCAATAGAGATTTATTTCTTTACAGAAATGTCGAAAAGTTATAGGAGTTGATTCATTATCACAAATTGAAGAAGCAGAAATGACATGCGAATTGAATAATATAAATAATGCTTCTTTTATAGTGGGTTCTTCATCTGAAGTTACAAATGTAATCACTAATGTATTAAGAAATTGCAAAGCTTCTGCTATCATTAATACAAGTACCAATGTTGGACGAGGTGTGTAGATTTGATTAGTTTTATTTCAAATGATCTGTGTAGATTTTTTAAATAATATATATTGTTCTCATATTCATAAAATACTTAAAAACAATTCAATACTATATTATCATTGTGTTTATGCATTTATAGCAACCGATCTTATGATATGCCTACGAAAAATATTTTCACTGAAGCGATTAGTAATGATAACTACATTGACAAAACAAACTGTACGTGCTATAATAGAATTGGTTAGACCTGGTAATCGAAACATGGGAAATCCATTTATACCTGTAAAAGCATATCTAGTCGATACATTACCAATTGGCCCACATTTTGAAATAGTAATTTTAATGGAACGACAACCTATGTATAATCAATTATTGTTTCTTGGAGCATTACAAGAAACAAGTTCCAGCAACAATACTGAACTAGCAGCTTCTTTATTTAATAAGAGAAAAATAAACCAACAAAAATTAGTTGATAAGAAGACGAGATTTAATCGTTCTAAAGCAAAATTAAGAGGAAAACGTCTTCATTCGCCAGAAAGAAATGAAGGTCCAGCAAAAAAATTCGACAGAAAGTCAGATAAAACTGTTGCCAAGAAGTCACGCAGAGGTGGTAAGTATTTAAATCATAATGTGTAAATATCTAAATGTATAAATTATAAATTAACATAACTTATTATATATTACTAGATTGGTCAAGAAGAAAGAGTAAAGTAGAGGAAGGTTCTGAACTTCGTATTAATCCTATGAATGAAAAAAAGGTACGAGAAAACATTGATCGAATAGATCTACGAAAAAAGTTGTCAAATAATCGCATTGACCCTGAAATTATAAATAAAGTAAAAGAACAGCAAGCTATCTTAGATGCAGCGAAAGAAAAATTAAGTGGATCTTCTGCTGCGGTAGATATAACAACTGCTAAAGAATTACAAGATATGTTGAATATGGTTCTTGAACAAACGAACAGACTTCAGAGTCAACTACCACGTTCAGTTTGGGATCGTATTGCACCACCTGATACAACTGGACATTCAACTGACATAAAAGATAATCAATCTGATCCGTTACTTAAGGGTCGTTATATACAAGAAATAGGAACGAAAGACATTTTAATAACTAAGGAAAATGAAAAATTTCTAGAAATTGATAAAGAAAAAGTAATAAAACCAATGTATAGAAAATATAAAAACATAGACCCAATAAAACCAAATTTGTTCGTACCATTAAACAATGATACACCTATATTGAATAGATCTTTACGAAAATCATCAGAACATTATCATGGATCAGATTGTCGTAAACATAATTTTGATGAAATCTCTTGGAATAAAAACAAAGATTTTGATAAACCTTGCTGGTGTAAATCTAGCAGTACAAGGAAACGAACACCGTCACCTATGAGGAAGCATACATCTCCTCTAAGACATCGCTTATCTCCTTCAAGACGATTTTCACCGAAACGTCCACTCTTATCTCCACCAAGGCGACCACTTTCTCCTCCTAGAAAACATATTTCTCCTCTTAGGCGTCCAATTTCTCCCTTCAGATCGCATAATACTTTAATAGATCGTTCTTATTCTCCATCAAATCGTTCAATATCAGGATCAAGACGTACTTTAACACCACCTAGACGTGCATTTTCTCCATTGATGCATCAAGTATCACCCAGAAGACATATGTCACCACCAAAACAATACACGTCTTCAATGAGAGCTTCTATGACATCACCAAGAAAAGAAATGTCTCCTATAAGAAATCAAGAAGCTATAGAAAAAATACATTATTTATCGTCATCTGGAAGGAGGATACATTCGTCAAGTCTTGATCCGCAAGCAATATATCAAGATATACTACTGTATCAAGAAAGACAGCAATCTCCTATGCGAGTGGAATCATCATTTCGAGTCGTTTCGAATCCTATGTACGACTTAAACCGTCATAACACACCACCTGACGAATGGGATATACCAAGTCGTGGTGCCATTGAACAAAGTACTTCGCATCCTAGTAATAAAATACCCAATAAATCGTGGTGTGATGAAAGACAATCTTCTAATTCAAATGGGAACCAACAAGCTTCTAATGTTAATAGATATCGTAATAGTACTGTAACTCAAGATAAGTGGAATATTAAAAACTCTTCTCAAGATAATGTGAGAATTTCTGTTGGAGAAGATATGTGGAATACTAAACCATCATCAGTGATGCAAGGTTCAAAGGATGCCTGGACTACAAATTTCGATAATAGGTGGTCAGGATCTTCGAGCTTATCACTAAATAACGATAATTGGGGTATTCAAGGAAAGGAAAGTTTCAGTAGCAGAGAAGAATCCTTGATGGATAAAAATAAGAGCAGATGGACAGGTCTACGAATTAATATGGATGTTAGGGATCATAAAGGAGATAAAGATGATTGGGACGATCTTCCGGAAGATGCAATAGATCCATGGAGTGACGATAATAGTATTAGTCAAAAGGAAAAACGATGGTACATAATTCGTAAATCAATCGGCCCTTTACATTCGTCCGAACCAAGAATCCCATCAAGTTGGGAAAGAGAACACGAAATGATGGACTCATGGTCTAATCAAAAAGATAATTGGCAAAACAAAGGACAATCTGCCGGAACTTCCAAATCTCTTTGGGAAAGCAATAATAATCAAAATCAAAGAGATGAACGTTGGATGGATATTTCAAAAAAATCGCAATCTCCTGCTTTCCACAGTAAAAACACTTTAGGAATGTCATGGCAACAGCAGCCTGTATTAAATTTACAAGCTCAGCGTTCTTCTACAACGGATCACTTTAACCCTTTCAAAACGGCGAAAAATCAGTCTGAGTGCGAATCATTCTTGAGAAGTCAGAATGACAGAACTCCTCCAAGGGAATATAGAGATTAAAAAAAAAAAAAAACCAATAACGGTGATCAAAAGAAGAATATTTTTTAACAATTCTTTTTTTGTCTTTTTCTTTAAATTACAATTATTAGAATTAAATATTTATAAAATATTATATATGTATGTTAAATAGTAACATAAAAATGTTATAAATATTTTCAAAATGAATAAAACTCTCGCGAATGAACTAGTCGATATTCAAGTATGACATTCAGAACCGAGGGATATCCAGACGTGAACGCATTTCGTAGGTATAGTAGATATTTCATTATCAACAAGGAATACCGAAGTACATAAAAGCTCTCAAGTTAACATTTTACCTAACCAGATTCATTTTAGTTATTACTCTTAGTTATACACTTACCAAAAGTGGGCGATAGTAGATAATTAACGCGATGATGGTAAAATAATATCAAAGAATACAATATTCTATGATAGTATATGATATTATATGATGTATCCTGTAATAGAATATATAGTATAGTTATACTGTAATAGAATATTAAATAATTATATTCAATTGTCAAATTGAAAAAATTTGTGTGTGCCTTCAGAAATGCCATTATACATACATATATTCAAAATGAAACAATTTTAAGAATTAAAATAGTAAAAGATCCCAAAGGTTTGTTGTTAAATCCAACGATGATCACCTGTAACAAAAAGAAAACTATATTAATTATAGAATCAAGTGAGATACAATAGCCTGACATATGAATCGTCCAATTTGCAGATGCACTTTTCAAATTGAATTCCCTATTTACTTTTTATAAAAGCTCTATTTAAAGTTGCAATAAAATTGAATTTAAACGCGTGATTTTACATTTACAAAAAATAAAAAATAAAAAGTAAAAGTACAAATATTTAGTTAGCAAAAAAATAAATATGTTTCTATATAGAAAAGAAAAAATTACAAATTTAATATAATACGATTGCGATCAAAGTGAAAAATCTTAAAGACGAAAAAAAAAAAGAGAGATTACTTTAATATTAAAAAGACGATAATTATGTTTCAAAATGTAATAAAAAGGAAATTTAAATATTTTGACAAGAAACTAACTAAACACGTATGCATCTTTTTGACGATATAGACACGCATTTGGTGTCCCAAGGAGATGGAATGGTCCATCATCTCCAATTACAACTAGAAATTAATGACGAGCAAAAAAGTAAAACAATAAAATATAAAATATGACTAGAGAGCTATTCTCTAAAGGTTCAAACTTGCTGTTGAACCTTTGAAAATAACTCAATAGCCTGTAGTTGCCCTCTTGAGCCACAATTAAGTGGGGGCCTCTTCGGCATTAAGCCTCTTCTTTCTTCATTCCATGAAAACTGCATTTGGACATTTCCTACGTGCGAGCAAGATAAGATCTTTCATACTAATTTTGCAA